GAGTTTTTAAGAAAACCAGTGATTTCAATTCCCCTTACTTCCACTATGATTAATAGAATATTAGAAATTCCATATAGATTAATAGAATATGGAGACTTAAAGTTAGTGGACGATTGTAGCATAGGTTGTTGAATGAAAACTGAGTGCCTAGTTTTAATAATGAGTAATTAATTTTGGCATCAAATGAAAAGCATTGGACTGCACTTTCCCTCCTTGTGTCCTTTTATTTCTATTTGGGTGTTGCCTGCTAGGTCATTCATTCAGCTGTGTCAGAAAAATTTGCTACTTGTAAAGCAAAATAAATAAATAGTATGTGGCAAATAGAAATTAACTAGGCATGGCTAGAATTAATTTTTATGAGTAAGTCTCTCCAAGGACTGACATTGGTTCAATTAAGAACCTTCTACAAATTCCATGTCATGCCCTTCACATGTCCCGTGTTCCACATGTTGAGTATTAGGCAAAACTAATAAGAATTGGTTCTGTGAAACTCCAGAGATTTGTTTGTGTTCCAAATGAGCGCACATTGAAGTATACAGAGTTTGTCACAGATGCTTCTCTGGCTTCCCTTAACTTTTAGGCCACCAGGTGCAAGGCTGGTCATAGGCAAAGCAGCAAAATTAGGTTTAGGGTCCTACCCAGCTCCCAAGGCAAGCTTTGGTGTCCTATCTACTCTACCCTTCCTAGATTGTTGCTGTCATGCTGTTGCCTGCTTTGTAGGACCATGCATGCTCTCTCCAGGACCTCTTCCCATCACTCACAACTTATATATATGTCCTTTCCAGAATACTGTATCTCTACCTGCAAACTAGCCTGTAACAATGAGAGAGAAGTACAGGTTGGCTTCCAGGTAGTCTATGTTGAGATTAGGGTGGAGATGGGGAGGACTGACGTCGATTTTTTCTTTATTATTATCATTATTAACTCTAGTTGCAGAAAACAAGGAGGCTTGGGTTAGATGGCCTCTCATGGTAGGAATTTCAGGAGAACTAGACAGGGAGGGTTGGTGGGATAATAGATTTGGAACTGTAAGGCACTTCAGAAGTCATATAGTCTGCTTCCTTCATTTTACAGATGAGGAAAACTGAGGCTAGAGAGGGGAAGTGAATTGCTCACTGTCACACAGGTAGTAAGCATCAGAAGTGGGATTTGAGCCCAGGTTCTTTTTTCCACTATAGCACAGACATTTCTGGTGAGTGGGTGGGTGGGTTATAATATTTAGTAGATAACAGTTGTGTTTATACAACTAGCCCTTAATAAAAATGGTAGTTAGTTCCCCAATGATCAAAGTTTTTAAGCAGAGACTATATGACCACCTATCCAGGATGCTATAGAGCTTTTTGGTTAGGTTTATACTTGGACTACATGGCCTTTGAGGCTCATCGCAACTCTGAAATTCTATGATCTCTCTCTGTGCTCCTGACTGGAACAGAACAGAGAAAGGAATGATGCTGTTCAGCTCTTCAATACCTTTAATTGTTAGGAAGTTTTCCTATGTATTGAGCTGAAATCTGCATTTCTACAGCTTGCTCAGTCAGGGATCATTTATCCAATTTGTCCAACAAAGGGGCTTGGGACTATAAATGAATTGTGTTTTACCAAAACATAATACTCATAGATTAGTCTAAGTGAATCATCCTTTACCTTTTGGTTCTTACCACATTCCCTATATATAATAACACAAATTTATCTGGCAACCTCAGCTACTCAGAATACTACTGAGCACCGAGAAGTCAGCATACAGGAAGTCTCTGGGCAGCAGATTCAATAATGCTTATGTGCTTCTTGTACAAGGCGTCTTCTGTGCCCCTCTTCCCAGGCAGATGATGGCTTGAGCTGTGATTGTAATAACCTCTTACCTGGCAGTCTCTATCTATTCTTTCTGATGCACGAGGACCTCAGAAACCCGCAGTGACATAGATTTAGAATGAGATGAGCTCTGAGAGGTCATCCAATTCAGCCTTTTTCATTTAATAGAAGAGGGAAGTGATTTGCCTGAGATCACAAAGTTGTGAGTGGCATAGTCAGAATTTGAACCCAGGTTATCTGAATCCAAATACCTAGTGTTGTTCATACTACAACAGGCTGCCTGGATGATTACCAACTGTTTAATTTGACATTTAAAAGCTCCTATAAACTTTTTGACCTTCATTCCCAGCCTGATTTCATTCTTCTTCCTTGTACTCTACAATCCAGTCAAACCAGACTAACTATTCCCCTTGCCCAAGATACATGCCTGACTCATTTCCCTCTGTTGAAATCTTTTTTTACCTTCAAGACTTGGGGTAGCTGCTTCTTTTTCTTCTTCCTCTATCCCTAACAGTTCAACATTCCTTCATGCCATTGATACCACTGGGGCTGCAGACAGGCCCATAGAATTAGGAAAGGAAGCTCTGAAATTTTCTCAGTCGGTTAGTGTAGGTAATGAGCTGTCATTCTGCTTTGTGATTACATCTCTCCCTTACCTATGACTTCCTTACTGCCACCACCACTCCCCCACCCCGTCCCAATACAATAACATTCCTGGAAATTGTGACATTCTTAAATAATAGTTGTATGCACTAACTTGAGGCTTGCAAAAACACTATAGAAAAGTTAAAAACAAATATTTTCATCCCAATGGGATGGGGAATGCAGGAACAAATGAGAGGCAGTATTGTTGGAAAAGACCACTTGGTCTGCCAGCTTTTAATAGTCCAGTTACCAAGGATCATGAAGAACTATCTGAATTCATGTGATGACTTTTGCTACTTCTAATACTTTTAATCCCATATTAATAAAATTTATAAAAAAATAAACTTATCTATCAAAGCTTCTGTAATCAGAAATACTGTGACCTGATCTTTAGAATTATGTAAGCATGCTTTTTTACATCCTCAAAATCAGTGTGCAGATACTCCAATTCCTCTTTGCGCGATTGTCTGTTTATAATACCAAACAACCCCCCCATTTCCATAACTTTTATAGATCTTCCCATATTTCCACATTTGCCTCCTTGTGTTGCTCCACTGCTTGCTCTAGCCATTTCCCCTCATTTGAAAGCTATCTCACTTCTGCTTTTGCCAGTAAACACATCCAGTGCTACAGAGCCAAAAGAACATTGGATCTGCAATCAGAAAAGCTGAAATCAGATCTTGATTTGACCATTTATTTGCTGTGTGACCTTATCTTCATCTCTCTGGGCCTCATTTTCTTATCTGTAAAATAAAGGACTTGGAGATAATATTTAAGGTGGATGGTGGGACATCCTTGGAGTCAGGAAGGCCCAGTGTCAAGTCCTGCTCTGATAGCCTGGTGTGGTATTAAACAAGTCATCTATCCATTTAGTGTCCCCAGACTGCTTTCTAAAACAAGTTACAGATTAATTTTATGTTTGCTTCAACAGAAGCTTGGAGTTTTCTACACTGATACCACATTTATGCAACCCTTCCATCTATCCCCTCTGCCTGAATCGGAAGGGCCCTTTAAATGCTCAAATCTTAGGATCCTGTGTCTCTCTGTGGATGTTCAGAAGACCTTCCAAGTGACCAGAAGAAAATATTTCCAAAATCTCTCTTGGACTTATGCTAGATTAAAAAAAAAAAAGTATAGCACCAGAGCCAGCTATTTCTTGCTTAACTCACCTAGGCAGTTCTGCTTTGCACAAGAAAAAGGGACATTGCCTCTGTATGTCCTCTTCTAAAAACCTGTAAGCTCGACATTTTCCACATTTCAAAACACCTAAGAGCTTCTCTCACATCAGCACTCTTGTATTTTAATATAGGATCCCAGGTCTATGGTTTACGTGGATGTTCCTCATGTGTCACACAGTTGAGCTCAAAAACTATACTTGTAGGATCATAGGGTCATAAATTTAGAGCTGAAAGAAAACTTAGAGGCCATTACCAGTGAGGAAATTGAGGCACTGAGATAGTAAGTGACTGGCCCATGGTCATCTAGCCAGTAAGGGTCTGAGACAAGATTTGAGCCCAGGTCTGTCTCCAAGTACCCATTTGAGCTTTTTGTTCCCTGCTTAGGTCCAAGTTCTTGGAAATTACATACATAACCTATGTTATTCAAATATTTCTATTTGAGACAGTATTGTAGAACTTAATTTTCTTGTCTTCCCCAAAGTATATACAAGTGTGAATATATATATATATACATACATATATATGTATGTATATATACATATGTATATACATACATATATATGTATGTATGTATGTATATTACTGAATCAAATGCCTATTGTTTTATTCTTGAATGATCCTGTAAATCATTGTGAAAACAATACCCTGGGTATAAGCTTTTTCTGTGTGTTAAAGTTATTTATAGTTAACCACCTTGGACATGTCACTTCATCCCTGTGGTTCTTTGGTTCACCTATCTGTAAAATGAGGGGATTGGACAAGAGTTCTCTTTGGACTCCAAAGCCTATAATCCTATATGAAAAGCTATCATTTGTCAAAAATGATTAGGGGTAAATAAAATTGATATTTTCCCTCAGAATTAAGTAGTAAAAGTTTTAATAATTCATCATTGTTAACATGGTCCACTTTTGTTTGTCCAGGGAAAGAAGTTTAGCTTGGAGATTGTGATACTGCCATTTCCCCCTATACTTCTTCCTTATGTTGGTGGTAATTGTCCAATTCAGGAGTTTTGTTGCCTCTTAGTGCCGTGGGATGGCAAGCAAAGGAAAAAAAGGGAAAAGCCCAGTAGTTAATAACTAAGTGCTAAGATATTTTTTAGTGGTTTAATTGGCAGAAAAGACCAGTCTGAATGAGTGAAACATGAAAGTTAAAGACCATTTTAAGAGAACCTCTACAGTATTATTCAAGTGCATAAGAGTAACTAGAGTAGGCTTAAAAATGTGTTGTCAAGTAGAAGCCCTTGCTTGTAATTAGCATATTACATATATTTTTCATATATTTAATTGGGATTAGGAAGCAACATATAGTGTGTTTTTTATGAAGTCATTTTTATTATATGCTGTTTTTGTCTTGTGTTTCTGTTTCTAGGACCGGAATAGGCCCTATGACACATTTAACTTGCACTCTTTGGAGAACTCTTTAATGGATATGATAAGGACTGATCATGAGCCTCTGAAAGGTAAACACTACCCTCCCAGTGGCCCACCAATGAGTTTCGCTGATATTATGTGGAGGAATCATTTTGCAGGTTAGGAATATTCATACGTCCATTCCTTGCTTGGTGTTTTAAATGAAAATCAGCTTTTTAAAAAAAATAATTGCTATGAATTTGCTACTAGTAAAGTGCTATGAATGTATTTAAAGTTGATTTTTTTTTCTTCATAAAAATCTGGTTCAGCATTACAAGATAATCAAGGTTGACTTGTTAATCCTCAAATTCCTTTGGAAAGTCTGTTGGTTGTTGGTATGATCCCCACTTAAAATGACTTGCCCAAGATCATCTAAGGAGTCCAAAACAACAGAGCTGAGGGAACTTAATTTTCTAGTCTTGTGCTGTCATTTCTGGACTAACATGCCCAATATGTTTCTGTCAGCCACTGTCATTGATTTGGAAGTAATCTCCATAGCCAACTTGAAACAACTTTATGGGAAAAAAGACTCCATCTTATGACAGAAAAAAAGCATTTTTCCACTATCTGAAAATAATTACGTAGAAGATAGTAATTAGATATCTTCTACCTTCACTAATAAAAGGAAAAAGAATGACTTAAATCTTAAGATTGATTTAGGTTAAGTATAAGGAAGACAGTGTCAGAGATAGTATGACTTAGTGGATTGAGACTGTGCCTTGTCAGAAAAATCTGAGTTTCAAGAACTGCCTTTACAATGAATGTTAAAAATTGTTTTTACATATAATGGGGGGGGAACAAATTATTTAAATTTAAATTTAATTTAATTAATCTAATTATTTCATTTATTTATTATATAGCAATATATTTATTATTATATTAAAGCATGATATATTAGATATATTTATTGTACAAATAAATTGGTTTTTTAAAATTTAATTTAAATTTAAATTTTTTCTTAAAAAAGAACTACCTCCCACATATAGTGGGTGTGTGATCCCAAGCAAGACACTAATCTCTCAGTGTTCCCATACACCTCTGAGCTGAGACTAGAAGTTGCATAACTAACTGATCTGCATTAGTAGAGAGAATTTCTTCACTGGGAGTTCCCTACATTAATGAAATTGTAGGTCTGGCCAAAAGAAAAAAATGGTAAGGAAGACTGCAGACCATAAGAGTCTGCAATATCAGGACTTAATTCTCTGAAGATCTTTAAAACCAGTAGAGATGTGACTGGCCTGTTTTAGGTCAACTTTTCCTAGATACAGGGACAGGGACTGCATGACCTATTAAGGTCAATTTCTAGCCCTAATTTATTTAAATATTTTGATAGTGGTTATATATATGGCTTCTTCTTCAGGGTCAATGGGAGCAGCTGACTAATTGAGAACCACAGGGTCAAGCATTTTTCTAACCTGATCAAGGCTTCTTAACCCTTTTTGGGTCTTGGGCCCCTAGTCATCTGGTGAAGCCATTGGAGCCCTTCTGAGGATAATGTTTTTTATATATAAAATAAAACACAGAGGATTACAAAGGAAACCAAAAGTTAGTGAAAATAGAAATACAATTTTTTTACCCATGTTCACCATGAAATCTGTCCATGATGTACACATTTAAAACCCTTGAATTAAAGAAAGTGTCCATCTTTTACATACACATCTTCCTCTTCTAGAAGTATCATATAAATCTGTCCTCTTCTAACCAGGCCCAAGAACAAGATTTGACTCTAAAGTAAAGGAGCTGATTTTTCAAAGGTGATTGTCTCTTTATGTTACCATTGCAGAGAATATCATGCATCTTTCCTGATTTCCAGTAGAAAGAACACAGTTGTTAGACCATGTAGTAAAGGACGTTCTCTGCAAGAAGCTGAAAGTTATCCTTCATATCAGCCCTTTCCCCTTCAAATGCTAAGAAGATATTAGAGAGATGATTTGTCCAGAGATGTATAATTTGCCTTAAATGTTTGCTGTTATTAAAACCATTCTCATTCTACCATGATTCTCCTCACAGCCAGGTTGCTATAATAAATAACTGCAGGCCTCTGCTCCTCTTTCCAAAATACTTGGCCCCTATTTGTTGGATCCTCCTTCTTTCCTTTCCATGGTAAATGAACCCAAGGCTTCCCAGGCTATAATTTCAGAAATAATTATCCAGAGTTTTATTGTGGACCATCCTGATGGGGAAGGCATTAAAGGAAGGAAGAAGTTAGGGACCGTATATATGTGTGTCTGTGTTTGTGTGTGTTTGCATGCATGCAGAGGAGAATTGCTGTTGTCTGTACTGTGATAAACCCATCTTTGAATGAATAGTTTGTCTTCATTTTGCATGAGTTTCTACATTACTCCTGGGAAGATAAAATTACTTCTCTGCAAGACTGCTCAACTGAGACATTTGGCTACCAACAGGCTTTCACCAAATCAGGTTGTGCCTACCAGCACCTCCTTGTGTTCTGTCCGTGGCTATTGCTACCTGGGCCACAGCAGGAGAGTGCAAATTATTTTAATATCTGAATAACTAGTCCCTTTCACCGACACTTTTGAGGCTTGGTTTCATGGTACCTTGGGGTAAAGAGTCTGCTTCATGATTCCCGTTTCCATCCTGGAAAATTTAAGGAGAGCACACAAAAACAATATGAATAAGAGCTAACATTTACATGGTACTTTAAAGTTCACAAATCATTTCACACACATTTCATTTGATTGACATTTCTGTATTATAATTACAGGTTTAGATGTTTCCTAACTGAAAGCAGAGATCAGAGATGGTATACATGATCCATCATGGGTGTGTGTGTGTGTGTGTGTTGTGTGTGTGTGTGTGTGTGTGTGTGTGTATGTAAGTATTAATGAGCTTTTTTGTAGTCCTTCACCCAAGGAGTGGGAACACATACCCTTAAGATATGGAAGGTTCATTCAATTTAAGCTGATTAAGTACCTTCCCTATTTAAGCCTCTTTATGGGGAGGGCAGGAATCTAAAGTCTAAAGTCTAGTAAGACACAGTATCAGCACTCAGTGAACTTGTAGTATAATGGAAAGATGAGACATCTCTTTCTCACTGTTTCTGGAACTCTGACCTTGAATGGTGCTTCTTCTCTGGTTGCCCTCTTTCAGTGCCACATGAGTCATTTGTCCTTTGAGATATAAGCATTTATCATGAGTTTTGGACTATGTGGCATGATATTTTCTGTAGAATGTGATATCCTAAATTGAACCTCCATCCCCATTCATCAGAGTTTCTCCAAAGTTGTTCTGTCCAGTTCATGACTAGTAGATATGTCCATAAAATTTTTGAGAGCTCAGTCAAGAAAGTATGGTATAGAAAGAACTCTGGACTGGGGGCAGGAGATTAACTGATTCTAGCTCCAGCTGGGCTGCTTATTTGATGTGACTTTGCCTTCCTGGGCCATAGTTTCTTTGTGTGTAAGTTGGGTGGGTCAGGGGCAGCTAGGTGGCTCAGTGGATAGAGCACAGGCCCTGAAGTCAGAAGGACCTGAGTTCAAATCCGGCCTCAGACCAAATACTTGACACTTACTAGCAGTATGACCCTGGGCAAGTCACTTAACCCCAACTGCCTAAGTGCAAAAAAAAAAAAAGAATAGGCATCTTCAAAATCCCTTCCATTTATAATGTTCTGATATGGATATGAATTTGGAGCTGACACATTTCAAACGTCAAAGTTTACATTTTTTATAAAAAGATGGTGTTTTTCTGGAAATGTTTATCTTTTGAAGATGTTATCATATGTACCTCTGTGCGCCAGTGGTACAGAATATTATCCTCATGTAGAGAGGCAGCATATAGAGAGAAGATCTACTACCTTGGTTGTAGGGAAAACATAGGTTCAAGTGACTGGTAGAGCTACATGGCCCTAGTCAACATCACTGGACTCCTTAGTCCCCAGGTGACTCTCTTTGACTGTTTCGGAGCATTTATGGACTGTGTCAGTAGAGACAGGTACCTTGAGGAATTGGCTGTTCTTCAGACCAATGAAATCATGCCAACCCACCCACACATGAATAAAGGAGGACTGAGAGACCTGGGCAGAATGTTATAAGGAAGAATAGTGAGTGGCATGTTCCCTGTCCACAGCAACATGCACTGGGCAAAGGTGCCTCTGCCCCACTCACCTTGAGAACTAATCATCTGGAGGGCAGCTAGGTGGCGCAGTGGATAGAGCACCGGCCCTGAGGTCAGGAGGACCTGAGTTCAGTCTGGCCTCAGGCCAAACACTTGATCCTTACTAACTGTGTGACCCTGGGCAAGTCACTTAACCCCAATTGCCTTTAAAAAAAAACCTGATCATCTGGCTGTGGTAGGCCAGGAGGCCTCTTATTTCAGGACGAAATATAAGCTATGTTCTCTTTGTGCTATTTTCCCTTCTGACCTCTGTCTCTACCATGCCTCTGAACTAGAAGTTTAAAACAGCAAAACCAAGCCAAAGCAAGCAGCCCCAGTACTGTGGCCCTAATTGAGTTCCTCCATCTACCCTCAATGGGTACTTTTTTCTATTTGAATTTTCTTTATCTTTAACTATTCTGACAAGAAAACCACGAAACTGAGATTAGCAAAATGAAAGGAGCAGGTGTGAGTCAAGAATCAATACTGATAGATTTGTTTTTAGAATGTAGTTTATGTACTGAAACAGCCAGGGAAATATTAGCTCTTCTGGTCAGTTTACCCATTAAAAAACGTCTTACGTACATTTGAACTAAAACTGGGTGAAATGATAGCTAGAGATTTGGGGGAAGAGGCAAGAAACATCCTTTCGTGGTTATAATAGTATACCTCTATATGCAGAAATTAAATATATAAAAGCAGGCCAATTGGGAACTGGACAAATCAGGGGGCTGATGGTGGCAATATCTGGTTTGCTTTACAGAGCCTCTGCAGTCCGCTTGGCCTTGTGCTTCTGTGAACGTGCTCCCTCATGCTGGGTATACAATACAAATTGGCCCATTTATTTGTTTACTGTTAGACTCAATCATAGGCTCTGCTGTGTTTTTGTACTCTCTCTCTCTCTTCAGCTCAGATCTGTCTATGACTAAAAGCCAGCCACTGCCACAGACTTCTAGGGATCAAGTTCTGAGTAGCTAAAAAGCTGTATGCAGTACTGCAACAT